AAAATATGTTTGTTTTGTATATATGAAGTATATATATAAAAATATTAATTTTTTCAAACATCAATGGCCTAACATATGCTATTTATATTCACATAAATCCTAAGGAGTTTGCATTATAACCCTATTTTAACAGATTGAGAAACCTCAAAAATAAGAGGTTATACAACTTTTCCAAGGTCACATAGCAGAAATAGCAAAAACTAGGACTGGAAACCAAAACTAAAGAAATCCAAAGCTGGGTCTCTTTATACTATACCAAGCTGCCTTGCAAGTTCTGTACATTAAATAATATGCAGACCCTTCACTCCTCTCCATGCAGTAAGTCTTCTATGTTTTCTATGACATGATAAACAAAAATTGGCCCTGACTAGCTTCATACAATCCACAGCAACTACTGAGAACCCTGAAGTTTAATAAGTACATGTTCCAAATAATCAATGTTACCAAACATGAAATGTGAATATTCTCTTTTATTCCTAGTCCAGCCTGGCATGTAAAAAGACTTTAGTCCTTAAGGCTTTGTGAAGACAGAAAATCTAATTCTGCCTGAACCAACCACCACTGACCCAGATTGCATTTGGGCTGTTTGTTTGTTCTGAAAGACAGACTTTCACTCTGTCCCCAGGTTGGAGTAAAGTGGCAGGATTATGGCTCAGTGTTAACCCTAGGGATCCTCCTACATCAGCTACCAGAGTAGCTGAGACTAGAGGAGTAGTATATCACCACACCCAGCTACTTTTTTTTTATTTTTTGTAGAACCTGGGTCTCACTTTGTTGCCTAGGCTAGTTTCAAATTCCTGGCCTCAAGCAATCCTCTCTCTTAGCCTCCTACAGTGCTTCCATTACAGGCAGGAACTACCACACCCAGTCCCACCTTGTTCATTTTTAAACCTCTCTAAAAACTAAAACTATGTTTATATGTGACCTGCTTCCTCAGTAGAATTTGTCTTTTTCCCCAGGAGATCCTGGTTCTCCTACCTCTCTGACTTCCTTCTTAGTTTCCCTTGGTGTTTAAAGGGCCTTAATCCACAGAGGAAAACTTTGTGGCTAACACACACCATCTTCTGGATGAAATATTCTTCAAACTAATTCACGTCTCTCTTTTTTTTGTTTCCACATATACCAAGCAACCATCTGATTACTAATTCAACTTCATAAGCACTTTAGTACCAGAAAAAGGGTACCATGAAGACCAATGTATTCCAATCACTGGATAGGCATTCTCTTATAATGAATTAATAAAATTGGCATAGTAATTGTTGCTTTCTTTTCTTTTTTTTTTTTCTTTTTTGCCCAGGGCCGGTTTGAACCCACTACCACCACCTCCCGCATATGGGGCAGGCGCTCTACTCCTTTGAGCCATAGGTACCGCCCAAATGTTGCTTTCTATAAACCTTCAATGACTCCCCTACTGAGCATGGAACAAGGCCATAAAGGAATCTTTACAAGTTGGACCCTGGTTTCTTCATAGTATCGTGTGCTCCCACCAAAACCCAAGTCTGTCATTCTTTAAATCCTTCCATTCACTATTAGACCTTCATACCTTTACATGTGCTATTTATTTCATCTGGAATCTTTACAAGTTGGACCCTGGTTTCTTCATAGTATCGTGTGCTCCCACCAAAACCCAACTACTGTCATTCTTTAAATCCTTCCATTCACTATTAGACCTTCATACCTTTACATGTGCTATTTATTTCATCTGTCCTCTCCCCACCTTACACTCCTCCTTCTGGCTAAATCCTATTCATCCTGAAAGCCCTCTCTAGTGTCATCTCCTTTGTCAGGTCCTAATGAAACTCAAGTGGAGATACACATCCTTCCTCTTACTTCCATAGTATTTTATACATACTTCTATTCTAGCATTTATCACAGTATCATCATTACTTGTTTATTTATATGTTTCCCTTGCTAAATGTGAATAACTAAGGGCAGGAACCAGATCCCATTCATAATTCTGGCCTCTCCGGTGCCTACTACTGTGCTGCCTCCAGCAGAGATTTAATAATTGGCAACCTGGAGGAATGAAAGACATTCCCTAGTTGTCTTGGTTGCCATCCACTCTGAATTGTTAGGATCCAGAGATTTTATCTAATGTATCCTGTTTACTGGCCAGCTATCTGAAAGAAACTTTGGTATATTTAAGAAATGAGGGAAAGCCTTTATGTCCGTGCTGAATCATCTAATCTCGCCAAGACCATGCTCACTACCAACACATAGCAAAATGGTTGCCAAGTGCAGCTCTGGAAAACCCATTCTTCACAACTACTCCTAACACAGCTGAAATACATACAACTTTGCTACCTTCACTAATATATTACTTTCCTTCTCACTTTTGCCTCTTCCAGGAGCAGTTTATGCGGCTGAAAACTTTAGCTCTCCTTCAGCATACAAAAATCCTGCTTTATTCTATAGAATGAGGTGACTACAAATTAACAGCAGCAGAAGAAAGAGATCCAAGCAATGTGGTGGCCAACTAATGAGCTTCTAGAATCCTACCACCAAAATCTATTTTTCTCTGTGAGGCCAGGTGGGTAGATTGTTCGAGCTCATGACTTCAAGATCAACCTGAGGAAGAATGAGACTCCGTCTCTAAAAAACAGTCTGGTGTTGTGGCAGGCACCTGTAGTCCTGGCTACTTGGGAGGCTGAGGCAAGAGAATCACTTGCGCCCAAGAGTTTGAGGTTGCTGTGAGCTATGACACCATAGCACTCTACCCAGGGTATTAAAGTAAGACTCTTCGCCAAAAAAGAAAAAAAATCTATTTTCCAATCTCTCTCCAAAATGAATACCTGGCATTATCCTAACAAACTCCCCCACCCCACACAACCCACTCAACTGACTCCACCTGACCCTTCTGCTTAGGCAAACAGTTTTCCTATTAAAGGCAGTAAGGGGATTTCTAAGTCTGGTAAATGCAGGAATTCCACACTGCAAAGTGACAAAGACCCGGATGCTAAGCCAGTTTGACTTCCCAGGGAGAATGGTGCAGTAGGGGGGGAGAGAGATTGTTCTGCACCTAACATAGAACAGACTGCACAACAAACTCATATAGATAAGTTAATTCACTCTGGCCAACCATTTTTGACTCATTCCTCTTCTCAGGAAAGAGATCTGTGTCTAGGAAGGATTGAATTCCTATACACCCGATCAAAGTCCTCCAGAGGAAAACCAAACTGAGTGAGACAGCTGAAAGTACCCAACATAAGAGCCCTCTCCTGAAATAAGCCCTACTGTCCCCTTCCTTCCTTCATTAGCTAGGAGTCCAACTTCCTGTCTTCTGGAGGCCACCGGCAGTAGCATCAGTCAGGTACTGAGATTTCTTCACCTATTTTTGTTTTAATTCTCCTGATTTAAAGTTGTCACAGCCCAAGACAACCTGAGTGTATTTCCTCCCTCTGAAGAGTGCAGCTTTACTCAAAAGCCTACAAAGGAAACTTACTGGAACCATTCACTGAGCATCTAAGTTCAGCAGCACAATCTAATCTCTTTGTGCTCTGAAATGAACCACATTTCTTAAAAGAAAGACCACAGGGGGTTGACAGAAAACTTGCTGCAGGCAGGACAAGCTGGACAGCTTACAGGAGCTGATGCAGAAGGGAACAAGCAGAAGTCCCAGCAGGTCCATTTTAGAATTTCATTTCTCTTTCTCTCCTTTTTTTTTCCTGCTACATTCCCAAGCAGAGCTCTAATGCCACAAGAAGAAAAAAAAGGGGGGGGGGCGTTTTACAGCTTCTTCATTAGTTTCCCTTCACTGGGTAGGTGTTGTAAACAAGTATGCTGGACTCAGTCATAAAGGCTGAAGTTTCCTGTCCTTCAGAAGAAAAGAAACTAAAGGCCTAGTCACAAGGGCCAGAGCTAAATAGGAGAAAGTGCTGCCTATGTAGTTTCTGGGAAAAATCTTCCCCTCTGTGGAAAGCACAACTGCCACCCCAAGCAAAATCCCCAAAGTGGATATTAGAGATCAAAGCAGGGGCCTCCCAAGTCCACGCATCCTTGGCTTCCACTTAGGGGCACCTACAGCAGTCAGGGAAATGCAGTCCACTGCCCCTCTGGCCTGTCAAAACTTTCTCTGTGTGCACCCCGGGTTCAGATTAGGCATTAACTTGTAGAACTGCCCCGCAGGGGCTGAAATCTGAGCTCCAAGACAAATCTTTATTTTTCAGAAAAAGAAAAAAAAAAAAAAAAGAAAAGAAACAGACCCCTGCTTCCATGGGGCCCAGATTCTGAGGAGGAAGGAGGTGAGAGGTGGCCTCTCCACCAAAAACTGCACACTCACTGACACCGCTGCCCACCCCACCCCAGAGACACCCAGGTGGTTCGCACCCTCGACCTCCACTAGAGTCATCTGACACTCGGGGAGACAAAAGGGGGCCAGGGTCCCTCCGCGGGCACGCTGAGGTCCGAGAGGAAGATCGCGGAGAGCAGAGCCGGTGGTTTTCCTCGCGCCCAACTCCTCCTCCCCAGCAACTCCCGGCACAGCCGGTCTCCCGAGCCAGCGCCTTGTCTCGCCTCCTTCCAGCTGGGGCCAGATAATAGGGCAAATAATGTAACTGGTGATATGAAAGCGCCGACCGCCCCGGGAGAGGGTTCCGCAGGCTTATCTCCGCTCTGTAAATAACCCGGTCCCGGGAAACAGCAGCTTAGAGCCGAGTCCCCGCGCGGGTGGGCGCGACCCCGCCCGGCCGCCCCACCTGCAGCGGGCCGAGCCGACCGGCTCTGGAGGCCACGCCGCGCCGGCCCGCGGGCCCCGGACCCGGCCGGTCCCCGGCCCTACCTTTGTAGCGCTCCAGCACATCCTCGTACGCCTGCACGAACTCCTTCTCCTGGCTGCGGTTGGCCGGCTGCTGACCCGGCACGTAGCCTGCCATGGCCGCCCGCGCCGCGCTC